GTTTCCAATATAGGAACCACTGAAATTTGTTCCTCCATCATATTGTAAGCTTTCATGATGTAAGGGACGTTGGAACCGGTTTCCAGCAGGTGTAGCTCCCTATGAAACACCTGCGGACGCGTCCACAGGGTCGAGCTCGGAGGGCGGCCATATTCATGTCCGCATCCGCGGTTGGCCTCGATCGCGCCGCGGACATGAATTTATACAAAATTTTCTAAATTAAATAATGGGTAATATATATATATATACATGGTCACCAGCCCGTACATATGGATGTACCTGGGCAGACCTCCGTACGTACGGGCGTTCGGGTTCCCGTACGGGGTCTGAACCCGACGGCGTTCGGCCGCCGCCAAAAATTATTTCGTGGCCTAAAAATAATTATGTTTTTTTTAATTATTTTTTGTGAGTTCTCTATGGCGAGATGTACAAGCCTGTAAATTTTCAAGTCATTTGGCTAAGCCAACTAAGAATTAAAAATCGCCAAAGATGGCGGTGTCAAAACGTGCTCGCGCACGTATTTTTCCACTCTTTACGTTTTGTTTTCACTTTAGTTCGGGGTCTAAACAATTTTATTATTTTTGGAAACTTTTTTAGTGGGTTTTGTATCATGTGAAGTACACATCTGTAAATGTTCAGGGCATTTAGCTATGCCAAAAAAAAAAAGAAAAATCGTCAAAGATGGCGGTGTCGAAAACATGTTCGCTCACTCACTAAATTTAATTCTCTTTTTATTTTTATTTATTTTTATTATTAGTATTTGTTTTCCGTATTTTATTTTTATTTCAAATTTGGTAACAATTCGGATGTAATGCTCAGGAAAATCTTGTTTAATTTAATTTTCTCCATAACATATCTTTTTTTCAGATTTTTTTGATGACTTTTTTTTTTTTTTTTTTTTTTTCTAAATGTGGTAAGGAATTTGGATGTTATGCTCAGGCAAATGTTGTTTATTTTGTCTTTCTGCATAACATATATGTTGTTGAGATTTTTCTGAGTTTTTTTTCTTTTTTTTTTGGTCCGCGTTCATCTCGAACGGTCGAACGCATCCCCAAGGAATCCCGCACGTTCGGGCGTTCGCCCCGTCCCGAACACTGGTTAACCTATATATATATATATATATATATATATATATATATATATATATATATATATATATATATACAGAGTTGCCAGGCCGAACGTACGGAGGCCCCTAA